GCTAACAGCTTTTGTCAATTGTTTTGGTATGTGGCATAATAAGTCAACCAGGATATAGCTCAGTAGTGATTAGCTGAAGAGGAGCATGTTGTCAGCTTCCATAACAGAAGTGGGAAAAACTTTGCTGATAAATTCATTCTTACCTGGTGCTTGTAAACTGGAACACTGGCAGTAGTCTTCTTACATCACCTGACAGAGCAATAATCATAACTCAAACTAACTGAGCTTGAAAATGTATTGACCGACTTTGGTAGAAGTGGTTCAATGTCGAAAAGCTTCAATGTAGCAAGGAACCACATTACTCAGGGAGTGGTTTTGTTGTGTTGACATTTATTTTAAGTTTTTAAGCTGGTGGCATGGCTTACTAAATTTTACAATTGGCTAACTATAATTAACTATCATGCTAAAGATGAAGCAAGCACAAATGAAGGCAGTATTTAATTTCATAAGAAGGAAGATAAAGTGGGTAATGTTGATTTTAGTTATTGTATTTTTATTTTTTTTTCTACATGTGGCCCTCGCACCAGAAACTGAACCCATTGGAGACTTTTGTGGATAAGACTTTTTTACTCAACCTGCTGAGTGAGTTTAAACATATTCACGAAAGCAAGAGCATGCTAGTAGGCACATGTTTGGATATAAATCAATGTGATGTGATTGTTTTTACAAAGGCCAGACTATTTCTGCAGACAAGCCTGCTACAAAACTTGCAGAAACATGCAGATGCTCAAGATGGAGTGACACAAAGATTTATAATGTGAAAGAAAAAAAAAAGAATTTTGCTGTGAAAACAAGATGTGTGTGTGTTCAAGTAAAGATAAAAGTAAAGGTTCCCTTACCTTCCTTGAAACCCCCAGAGAAACACAAAACCACGTACACACACATTCAAAGACAAACACAAACAAGGAATACAAACATATCTTTCCTTCAAGCAGAGCCACATATGGTGGGCCATTCTCCTGGTCAGTAGCTCATTACATTTCTCATTATGTCTTTACACACATTTGGCCAATCCTCTGCACCTGTTGAGGTGTGATATTCCAGTTCTGTGTTCACACCTGCTCCTCCTCCTCCTCCTCCTCCCTCTATTCCTCCCTATCACCCGCCTGCCCTCCATCTCACACTCCTCTCCCTATCACTCCATCTGTCTACCTGTCTCCCTGCATGCTCGCCTCATCACCGTCCCCATGTTTCAGATGAAGACCACGCTGTTGCCAAGGCTACCACAGCCATTGTGTACCCGGTTGCCAGGTGACTGGTCGCTGTGGCGATGATCAAGAATTCTGAAGCACCGCAGCTACTGCTGCTGCCACTCCTCCTCCCCTCAATAAATAAATCTTCACAATTTTTCCCCTCTCTTCTCTACTCCACCGCTGTTCTTCCCCCCCTCCTGTCGACATTGGTAGAAGAAAAGCACAGCGACCTTTCAGTGGTTCTAAGCAACAATAGATGGACAGGATGGATGATAGCTTGTTTGTTTTCATTTCCTATCTCTCTCTTTCTCTGTGCTCTCAACTCTGTTTTTCTTCTCTCCTTCATCCAGCTCTTCTCCGGCTGTCCATCCTGCGCAGTTTAATAATGAATTGTCTCTGCTTTCTTTCTCATTTCCCTCTCTGCTCGCTTGTTTGATCACCCCTCCCAATTCGTCATCTCATTCTATTTCTCCATCCTTGTGTTTTATTTCACCAAACAGTGGGCCATGAATGGGCCCCACTCGGGTCTCTCCTCCTTGTCTTTGTTCATCATGGCACTCAGAGTACTTCAACCTCCATCAGGCTCCCCACCCCCATTTTTTTCCAGCATTCACCTTTTTCCATCCTCTCTGCCTTTTCTTTCCTTTTCTCTTCTCATCACTGGACAATTTTGTTGGGCTTGTAGTGATGCTCTTATCCTTTTAATATGCTTACTCTAATGCGCTAGCTAATTCCCAGTTCCCCATCACAAAGACGGATGATGGCAGATAAAATTGGTGTGCAGTAGGGTTTGAACATTATGGGTTATTTTAAAAGACTGATGAGCTTTTTTGGCATTTCCATTTCCATTAGACTGCAATTGGGCTGAAATTCATTTTACATGTGACAGTCTTCAAGCCTTGAAAGATAAGGAGTACACAGATTTTTCTTCCAGAACTTTATTTGTAGCTTCAATGTAATGTGACACCAACCTCTATTGCTGACAAAGATAATGGTGAAGAAGAAAAGGAAAAAGAAGACATATTCACATATGTGGAAATTAATTAGACTGCGCACCGTATCTCATTTTTAATCAAAGGCCTGGACAAGTCTTCTCCAAGCTGAGGTGCTCATTCAACTCCAGTACCATAAATGCAGCAACACTTCCAATAGAGTATACTCATCCTATGGCTAGTCTCATAAAACATTGTGAGAGTGTGTTAATGATATTAATCATATAATGCAAAGGCTACAAGAAATAAAATAGTACAAACTTTTTTTGTTTTTTTCACGTGATTTTTGACCACATGCATGTTTTGTCCATTTGGCCGAAATGGCAGCAGTGAGAGGACAAAGAATTCATGTCTGCATCCTGACATGACCCTCTACACCGCAAGTCTGTTTAAATGGTGACAGGCACCTTTCATAAAATTTTGAGCATTATGTGACAAAATGTAGTCAGTCTTCACCTTTTAAATTTTTACTGCTGAGCTGAGATTTTTATGAGCACAATAATACAGCACAATAATACTACATTTAGTTTTAACTTCTCAACAAGAAGAGGCCAGTTTGCTTTGTTAAGCATAAGTGTCTGTAAAACAAGTAAATAGTTCAACACTTTTTTTGTTATTTGTATTTGATTTGTATGAACTGTGCTCCCCAAATAAAGCTTGATTGATTTTTCAAAGCATTCAAGTCTGAATATGACAGCCATAAAGACAGTGCTGGTGGCTGTTTCATGCTGACAAGAGGGTTCAAGGAGATTACAAAGAAAGTTGTTTTAAAAGAAGAGTGAGATATTGATTTTTTGATTTAATACTAATATTCAATAATAACCTGCTGCTGATCGTTAATGCATACATATATGGGAAGCTATCTAGTGGTCATAAATGTCTGTTTAAAAAGACACTATAGAAGGCCTCTACAGGCCTCTACAAAATCAGACAGAGTACAGGGTAAAAGCTGAGAAGTTGTTGTCGCTATTGCAATAAGGTTACATTTTGATCAGTGTTTTCTTTTACTCTGCAGGGAAAAAAATATATATATTTTTTTCTCTGTTTAAAGCCAGCCACAGGCGGCCATAAGTGGTTTTAAAGCCATAAAAGACCACACAAGGACAGTTCAGACCAATGTTGTTTTCAAAGAAGCCTATTCAATACTTGTGGTGATGATTTAATAGCTGTTAATTCACAGACTTGAGATCTCACAGATTCTCTGTGACTTCAGAAGACAAACAAACATGGAGGATGATCAGATGGATGGCTGTTCTAAAAACAAAAGCGAGAAGAATGGGAGAAATCCTGGCCGGGAGGATGGCATAGGTGCAGCTGATGTGTTAAGTTTGCTGCCATGTAACTACATATATAGGCTCATTTATGCTCGCCAAACACATGAAAGTGTACGCGCCCATTTCAAACGATGGTTCCCTCACTACCTACACACTTTCATGCCTCCTTTATGTAGGCATGGATATTAACCGTTACATCCGTAAGGGGGCAGGCCGGAGTAAAAAGTTTCTAACAACAACAAACAAAAAGGAACATGGCGATTGTGGAGGAGCTTGTGACAATGTATATTTCAGGGGATTGAAATGGAGGCAGCGTTGGAGGAGGCGGTGGTCGGTCAGGCCACTAAATTCCTTGCGGTTGGAGGATGGACAATTCTTTTCTCTTGTGGTACCGATAAGAGAAATTGACGACAAACGTCATTTCCAGTCCCACCACTGTCTTCTTCGTTTCTCTCTAGAGATGCCTATCCAGTAGGGACAGCAGCAACACTCCCCCCACAGTTTCCAGTGGTACTGCTCCTTCTGGCCCATATTGGTAAACTTCAAGGATACATGCAAAAATTAGGACAAAAAGAACACGAAGCACAGATGGAGAGCCCCAGATCCAGATCTGGATCTGTATGTAATGTTGAGCATTAATGAGCCTTAAGCATGCAACAATGGTTGGTGATGCTTTCCAGCCTGCTCCTCTCATTGGTATTTTGTCTGAAGCAGTCTGACTTGGAATCACATTCATCTAACATGTTTGATATCCAGGTCAAGGAGGCTCAAGCTCAGCCGGGAGCAGTGACATCACACATTTGAGGATTGTTTGGACTAATAATCAGCTACAATCAGGCTGCATCCCTTTAATTATTGGAGGTGGCAAAACAAATCATATTTGTTTGTTGAGATGGAATAGATGTGATATTGGTCTACTTACTTAAAACTCATGACAAGTAATAAAACAAATAAGCCGTTCTTCATTTTTCGTCCCCCTTTAGCTGGGTTTCACTAATAGTGGTCTACGGCCCGCATGACCCTGATAAGTCATATGAGTCATATCTAGTTAAATCAGATTTTTTTTTGACAGTCATTTTGAGTTTTGTTAAAGTTGTATTATCCTTGTCTGCTCACTGATCCTTTCAATGTAGTGTCTTTAGCCAGCAATGTGTGTGTGTGTGTGTGTGTGTGTGTGTGTGTGTGTGTGTGTGTGTGTGTGTGTGTGTGTGTGTGTGTGTGTGGAGGTGTAAAGGGCAGGTGATTGCAGCTTCCTGTGCCTGCATGTGGTGATGTGATAGTAGTGTGTGTATGTGAGTGTGAGTATTTTCATCTTCATGGCGTATGTGCCCAGACCTGTCCCCTGATGTGTCGTAGAGCTTAGCCTGATGCTCCATTGATTTGTATGGAAATACCGCCTGTTCACACAGCAGGTCCAACGCCCCTCTCTCTCTCTGTCATCAGTGTCCAGCTGTGGGACGCTAGCTGTGTTCCTTCATTTGATTGTATGAGATGGTGTGTGTGTGTGTGTGTGTGTGTGTGTGTGTGTGTGTGTGTGTGTGTGTGTGTGTGTGTGTGTGTGTGTGTGTGTGTGTTGAAGAGAGAGAATGAGTGAGTGAGAGATCTGTGTGATTGAGTGAGGGTTATGGTGTGTGGCTGAAAGGATTAGAGCACAAGGTGGTGTGAACTGTACGAGAGCTCATCAACTGTGTGTTTGTGTGTGTTGTCTTTGTGTCTGAGTGCCATATCAACGTAATGTGTGTATTTCTCATTATAAGTGTGTGAACTCACATCTGTCTCCTGGTGATACTTGATCAATCCTTGAGATGTTAATTCATGGTGTCTCTTTCTCTATCTCTCTTCCTCACACACACACACGCACGCACGCACACATACACACACACACACACTGACTTGTTCTGACAGAATCCATGGGGTGAAATATAATGACCTGGAGAACCATTCAACATCTCTCCTATCAACACCATCCGTCCTATTGTTTACCACCCATTCTTCCTCCTGTCCTCCTCTTCCTCCCTCGCAAGATGAGTCAATCCTGTTGCCCTTTTCCTTTTATCCTCCTCTCAGCTTTTCTTTCTGTCTTTTATATAGAACGCTGTCTTCCCTCTCTCCTTCCTTCAATTTTTTTCCTTTCTCCTCCTTTATTCCATTTTCTTACCCCTTCTCTTAAGGCCTCTCTTCTATCTGCATCTGTCCTCCCTTCCTTTCCTTCACCCCTTCTTGTCTTCGTTTTTCTTAGTATTCTGTTAAAGTCACAACCCTATTCAGTTCACGTGCTCATCACTAAATGACAAACCAGAGACAGCTTCCGCCTTTTAAAGGCCAAAGCGAGATGTGTGCAAATCTATCTCTCCCTCTCTCTGTCCTTTTTACCGCTCATACAATATGTGTTTTTTTGAGCCACCCTGAGCTGTCTAAAACTACAAGTAATTGCACTATTCACAGCAAAAGACCACACAGAAAGACAAAGTCTGGCTGCAGCCTGCATGTCTGGATTCTTTTTTCTTCATTATTTCCCATGTTCAAAACACAGACTGACAGAGCTTTTTTGGCAGTCGCAGGTTGGCAGCCATTTCTGCTTTTTGATACATGCTGTACACATCAAAATGAAACCCACCTGATCTCAGTGTGTACCCTCTTATTTGCAGAATAGAGTTTACTCGCCTACAGAGGCATACATAAATATTTATGAGATAAATTTGCCATCTACATCACAGTGAGTATCATCAAACAGATGCAAGTTATATGAAGATAGGCTGCTTTTAAGGAGGAAGACAAAATTGAATTTTGTTTACATTGCTTTTGTAGCTCTTGATGCTCAGACTTTCCTATTTTCCACTACATCACTGCATAAATCATCCTGTACAAACTTGACTTTAATGTTAGTTTGTTTTCAGTGAACACAATAATGTGGTTTGCAAAAAAAGAAAAATCACAGGAACCAATAATTTTTCCTCCCAAATGGAACCAGGTAATGATTCCTGCATGAAAATATTTACATGGGAGCTATAAAAGCAGATACTGTGTCCTGTCTACCTGCTGCACAGTATGAAACCAGGGACGCCTCTTTTTGCAGTTATTGTTTCCAGCAAAGATTCACTGCAGGGAAACCTTTGAAGAAGATGGGCTTGTAAAAAGAGTTTGTAAGTATTATTGGTTTACTGCTGTGCTTTGTACTAAACAGCTTGATCTGAATATATAACTAGTCCTGCAGTCAGCAGCTCTCACTGAATATTTTGGAATCTGTTAAGCCTCATGTAGCTTAGAAAGAAACAAAGCTCTGATCAATTATGATACCAAAGATGAGACAATTAGTTCCTGCTGGTGGCCTCCCTTATTTCAAGTCATCATGACTTCACCACAAAGTAATGTCCTTCAAATTCCCTCTGCAGGAGAACACCCGACTTACACTCCTTATGTTTGTTTGCAGTGCTCAGCCTATGCAGCTAATGCAACTTTATTTATGATCATGTATGATGACATTAGAGAGGGATTCACTTTATGGCCCAATTTTATGCTATCCCTCCTCCACATATTGTGAGTTGCACACAATTGGGATGAGGTATAACAAAACTATGACCCTGTGTGGAGTTGTGTGTTGCTGTGCATGGAAGTACAGCATAAATTGGACCGTCATAAATCTACTTTATTGTGTTGTGTCTGTGTATGTTTGCCCAAGTGTGAGTGGACTTGCTTTTTACTATCCTGTGACGCCCAAAAAGGCCCCCGTGGGGATAGATAACCCTAAAAAAGTGGCCGCCTGTGGCTCATTTATCCTGCAGTTTATTAGGAAACTGTCTGTTTTTAGGGTTGGGTGTTTGAGTTAAGAGTAAGGATTGTAACTTACCAGTGAATTAAAATGTGTGTTTACTGTAGTTAAACAGAAACATGTGGAGCTTGACCATGCGATCCAAGAGTGCTTTAAAAAAAGGGAAAAAAATCTTCAATTTTAGTGTGGCCTCTTATGTGTATGTGTGTGTGTGTGTGTGTGTGTGTGTGTGTGTGTGTGTGTGTGTGTGTGTGTGTGTGTGTGTGTGTGTGTGTGTGTGTGTATGCAATGCCGTCTAGTATTACTTGGCACTAGCTGGCAGCTATGTAGCTCAATAGTGGAATTAGGGTGTTATTGGATATTGGATGGACTGTAACACATTACACCACTTCACTGTCATGGGCGGCGGAGTGCTTATAGCAAACATCAATTACTGTGCACACTCAAACATGCACTCCTCCAAACACACACACAGACCGCACAAACCCTCACACATGATAACATCCATTTGATACACACACATGCCTTTTATGAAATTTGGAGCTTCAAAGTGAACGACAAAAGAGAGATGTTTAAAAAAATGTTTTCTCTGAGAGATTTAGGGAAGAAGGAAAGTGTGCGCAGCACATTAAGCATGTTCTTCCCTTTATGTGAGCATGCATAAAGCTCTTTTACATCATTTTAGATAATTTCTCGCTAGGCTCCAGCTAAAACGTATTCTCTCCTTTTATCAGCTTTTTTATCGCTCTATCCTCTTAACAAGCATTTTCCTGTCTCTTCTTGCTAAGTACAAGCTTTTTTCAGAGCCTCACTCCCTTTCGTCAATCTTTCCATTTCACCAACTCCCATTCATTCATCACAATCATTCTTTTTTGTCTTTGCTTTCAACCAATTCCTCCTTTAGACTTGATGTACTTTACATTGCAGATATGATGAAGTATGGGTGTAGCACACTATCTTGAATCAGTCCTGACCTTTGGAGTGCATAGTATAATTTCTGTGTTTTAATGCATTCTTGCAGTTATTGCTGTCAGGGGAGCAATAATGTTGATTGAATTGTAATGCTTGAAATTGAATCTTTTCTCTTTGTCTTCCTATCCTCCTTCTCCACCTTCTATCTGTCTCCAGAGACTCCTATCTCCTTTTTAGTCTGGTTTTTCCATTCTCTTTCACTCTCCAAATCTTCACTTTCTCTCGTTGTTTACGCAGTTTTCATATCTGAATCCACACTTGCTGGCTCAATTCAGATTTCTGTACAGCTGATGTAGATTTTAGATGTAAATGTGGATCTCAAAGTTTCAGGATCACTTTGGCAGAATTTCAGGTGTGGAGTCTTTCTTTACAAGCACACTAACACACAGAAATATTCTGATACTAACCTCATTTAAGCTTGCACCAAACTTCCATGTACTAGAATGACAAAAGTAGCTGGTAAATGTTACTTCAGCTGTCTTACTAACATCGTTCTTATCCCATTGCCAACATTTCTGGTTTTGCCTGGATTTCTGGGATATGTGCAAATGGCAGCTGCAGGAAAGGTAAAGGTTAGAAAAAGGTTGTTGTTTTGTTTTATTAAAATCCCAATGATATTTGCAGGTCAGGACTGTCCAGTGTAGATGTAAGTCTAATGCATCAGTCTTATTTAAGCTGGTGTCTGCACTTGAGTGTATAAGGCTGTTTTTTAGAAAAATGAAAGGCCACTGCACAAAGAATGGAATTAAATGTTGTTCTCGTTCAACGTTCTGGACATACTCTGTTTGGTGTGGGCAAGCAGTGATACTGGGTACAATAAGCAGATTGTTTTGGAGGACTTACCTGCAATCTAGATAACCAAGAAATGAGGGGACAATTTGCAGTCAAGCAACAAGGTCTGCATATAAGTCAGGACTGCTGCAGCAGTTGCGACCAATACCAAGGTGAGACCACACAAGCTTTTTGTCTGTCATAACAGTCACTGAGAAGCCTGTTGGTAGTCAACACTGTAGATGTGTTCTAGGGTCACAAGAAGAGGACTGTCAATACTTCAAAAAGAACTCATGGTAAGAATTCAAAACTCAAAAATGATATTTGTCTCCTGTTTGTTCTTGGAGTAAACTATTCCACTGAATGTGATGGGTTTCTTTTGTTTATTACAGGAATTGATAGAAAGAGGATGAAAACAACACAACTTTTAAAGCAGACTTAAAAAAACATGATTTTGAATGTTTGAAAGACCCACTCTGATGAAAATCACATTTTTCTTGCTGTCTTTATGTTCATGTGGCATTTTTCTGATGCTACGGGACATACCATGAGAAAACTAAGTGCAAAATTCTAATTCTGAGTATTTTTTTCATTCAAATCACTGTGAATCTCTGGCAGACCCAAACAGCAGGTTCAGACACAGTGGGATTTTCTATGTCACAATTCCATCTCTGCCCCCGGAGCCCCACTTTGCAGGCCAGACTCAGAGAAGTAGAGGGGACAATTGCGGAACAAGGGTGTGCGTGAGCGGATTGCAATGCTCGTAAGAAAGCAAATTTTGATATTAGCTTACATCATGCCCCCCAAAGACATTAGTGTCTGAGAGCTGAATAGCTTTTATGTTGCCTGCTACTTCTACTACACCGGCAATGTTAGGTAACAGGCTAACATGAAGAGGAGTGTGCAGAGCAGCGCTGTCTCCGCCCACGACTCAGGGGCAAATTGCTAATGAGCTACTGGAGAAGAAAAGCCCCTGAAAAAAGGTAACATGATTTTGGCTAAAAAACTTCATAATCACAATTTAAAGACCACTGATAACACTTAAGTTGTATAAAAAATAAATAATAAATAAACTGTTTGGAGTGGGACTTTCATAGTGAAACAAAAAAATAGAGAGGGAGAATGAGATCTCGGGTGTAGGGGCAAGTAGAGGAGCAAGATTTAGCAAAGGAGGTGCCTTTTTCTATTACTTTGTTATACTCTATGTCTCAAATGATGGATTGACAGCGGTACTTTCTTCTCTTTTTGACACATTCGAGTGATGGAATGACTCTGCACATGTCAAGAAGGTTTTATTCTGAATCAATGAATCAGTGCTTGAAGCACAACTTCGAATGCACAACTTAACCAGGTCATTTCATGTGGTGTTCTGAAAACAAAGATGTTTTAGTCTCTAGTCAGAGTGATTTTAATCAGGTTGAAGAAAAAACTGCTCATGTGAACATAGCTAGTGATACAAATGTAAAAAGCAAAAGTGTAATGGGGTAAAAACAAATGATCGAACTGTGCAGCTCAGTCAGCATTTATTTGGGTTTTTGTGCCATATGGTGGTGTTTGCAATCAAAAATGTGTAATTATTATCATAATTTGTACTTACTTAAAATGTGAATCTGGTAACAAAATGTTAAGCACATACAGGTTAGTGTAAGTTGAGGTCAACTTGACTTTCACTTCTGCTTTTCCTCTCTATAAATATTTTGCTAGTAATCTTTGGGAAAGATGTTCAAATGCAGCCTCATAATGAACTTAAAATACCAAAAGAAATCTTCTACCATTCAATTCTAAATATATTTGTTTAATTTTCTTCCTAGTTTTATGCTGTTAAAAAACTGATAGCTGATCTTGTTGTTCACCTTTGAGTTTGAAGTTAGTCACAGTGCTTGAAATCAAACACTCACGTTGAGTGGAAAGGTGGCTTTAACATTTAAGATTTGTTCAGAAGGTTCAAAATTGACGTCCTTACCCCAAATCTTTTCCAGAATTAAACTTATCTTCTGAATTCTGTACATACTCGTCAGAGTTTGGCCTTTATGGCCTTTAATTTCCTAAATGTCAAAGCATGTTGTTTTATCGTTTAATTGGTGTGTTCTCCAAGTTCCCTTTGTCCTTCTGCTTTTCTTCATTTCTAGGTCTAATATTTCTCTCTTTGTACACTCTTTGATAAGTAATACACTGACCTTCTTTCTAGGCCTAAATCTATTGAGGGACTTTCTCTCTCAATTACCCCCCCCCCACACACACACACACACACACACACACACACACACCCCATCATATCTTAAGAAAGAGGAGGAAATAGGGCAGACACTGCATACATTTACTGCACTGGCACACACTCATAAATACACACAGGAAGTGACAGACAAGGGATGCATGGCCACAAGGGACGGGCAAAGAGTGTGAGTGAGGAGGAGAGAAAAAGAGGAGAGTGTAGCTGACACCAATATGTTGTTCTATGTGTACGTTTATTACGGTAAACACCACCTTATCTGGCTTTAATGACATTTTTGCAGTGACACTCTGAGCGTCAATTTGACACGTTGTCCTGCTTCTTGCCATTTTTCTTCAGCAGCCACCACATGCTCATCATGTATACACACGCATGCACACAAATATACACACAGGGTCATATGGTGAGGCAAATCTGCACAAAGACACACTTTGATAGAGATGCAAGTGCAAATATACATACACATACAGACACACACCTTATCAAACAGACACACATACAATGAGTCACTCAAACACACACACACACACACACGTGTCACACTTGTCTTGCATTGTGTTTGCTTACTGGCTTTGTTCCATCCATCACACCCTGACAGCCCGTCGTTGTTGATTAGAGCCATGTCAGCCTCAACAGAAAAATCAATGCTGAAATATATAAATAAATACACAATTAAACCAATTGAGAGGTGGGAAGGCAACAAGTGGCCTGCTGTGGTGACGCTTCTAGCCAGCAGAGGGCACTGATGAGCTTTCCAGCCCAATCGGAGGGAGAGAGGAGGGTGGTCTGAGGTTTCCTTTGTTAGTTCTCCATCTTTCCCCTTTTTCTTTCCATTGCAATTTGTGCATGTTTGCAGGGAGCTAGGCTTGTGTGTGTGTTTAAGAGTATCAGCTCGATAATGACATCAGCCTCTTGAATTATTTTCATCTGAACTTGAAAATAGTCCAAGAGCATTCGTGACAAAAAACACAACCCTGTTTCTCACCATCGATCACTGCACAGAACTCAAACACACAGTTGGCCCCAGCAGTGTCATTCAGAGGCCTGTCTGATTATGAATAAAAATGATTCATGTGTTCTGGGCTTGGTGCGAAGTGAAGCACCTGGCCTTGGAACTCGGAGGAGCTAGTGTGATTTTCAAACCAGGCAAAAAAATAAAGACGATCAGACAGTGAGGAAATAAAGCAAGAAATGCACAAAGAATGCAGGAAACTAAAAATAGAGGGAAAGACTCGTGAAGAGGCAACTAGAGTGGCCTAAAAACTCGAGAAAAAGAAAAGCAAAACGAGAGAAAATGCCGCCAGCTGCTCCTGATTCCTCGGTGGAGGAGTTGAGTGGCATTTTTATGAAGAAAAGGCACGCAAGCCAAAACGTCGAGCTGCGCCCACTTCACAATGGCCTGGCACGCAGGCACACACACACACACACTCTGAGGTAGCACGGCTTGCACCGCTGCACACTCAATGACTGTGCGATGTGTGGAAGTGGATGTGTCTTTGCACTTGTAGCAGTAGGAATGCACTCAAAAATGCTAATCCAAACCACATCTCCATAACCTGTATTTGTGTGCGAGTGTGCGTGTGTGCGAGTGTGTGTGTGTGTGTGTGTGTGTGTGTGTGTGTGTGTGTGTGTGTGTGTGTGTGTGTGTGTGTGTGCTTGAGTCTGCATGTATTTTTATTTCTGGCATTTCAAAGCTTCTCATTTGGGGCTCTTAACAAGTCACTTTCATGTCAAATCTTGAAAACGGACACACACATGCACACTCACTACATAGCAGCGTGGTGTTGCTAATAGCACTAATTAATAGGCTAAATTCTGCTAATTGAACTTGCTTATTCTGAACCGCTCTCTTCCTCCAGCTCCCCCACTCCTCTGTCATTCTCTCTGGACTTTAAGTCGACGCTGTTCACTCTAATTTGAATTTGCATGTTGATTACATTACTGTTCCATAGTCCAATGTGATCCCTGTACTTTCATCATCACGGTAAATAATTCCACAACGCTAATCCTGCATTCACCTATTTTTAACCTCTCATTTTCAGCATTCCCACTATCTAAATGCCTCAGTTACACCCCCAACTAACAGACACACTCACACCTGCTCCTTTTTGATGCTTCAAGGAAAGGAGTTGAGCAGAAGAAGAAGAAGAAGAGAAGAGGGAGTGTTCACTTGAATGAGCCGCATGTGCAGAAGAGGACGCGATCTGGGAGGGACATGGGGAGGGGCGGCCATTAGCCATGCCAGCTGTTTCCCTTGCATATTAATATACAAGCAGACAGGCAAACACACATGAGAACACACACACATGAAGACAAACATGCAATCTCATACTGGGAAGACAAAACCCAGCAAGACAGGCATAAAAATCTGACAAACTGTACTCCACATGGAACATCAAAGTCATGCATGAGATTTACAATGGAGACGCATTCTGCAAATTGGGGGCATGTATGTGCACTCACACATACACACACTCACACTCACACATAGGTGTGCAGGGAAATCAGAGATGCATTGCACAAAGATAAAAGGACATGCTTCGGATTTATAACAGATATGTCCATATTCATGTGAAATTCATTCACATGCCAAAACACACACGCAATACAGAGTATTCCCACGATTCATGTGCATGAAAAACACATGCATGAAATTTACAATGTTGAGGCATGCTATTCAGATTCAGAGCAGATACAGATACACACACATACACACACTTGCTCACAAACAGGCTATTAAGACAAGTGTTAAGATTCAACATCTAAAATATATATGCATAAAAAACAGAAAATGCACCCACACAGGGGAGACACATGTCGTGCAGATACACACTCAGACACACACAGGAGTCTCCAAGAGGCAAGCAGTGCAGTATGATAGGCATAGAGAGGAAGACAAACAACCAAAGGAAGAGAAGGAGAGGGCAGAGGGTAGCAATGATTGTGGCTGTGGCTCAAAGAATTCCCAGAGTGAGCATTATATATTGAAAGGGGGATAAAGTGCAGAATTGCTTCTTCCTTTTTTCTCTCTCTGTTGTGTTTCCGCCACAGTGAACAAACACTGTCACATCCCTGAAAGCTTTCCACAATTGTGTTATATACTTCTATGCCGGATTGTTTCTCTAAATATTACTTCATAGGGATATATAGAACATGTATAAAAAGGTTCCCAGAATATTTAAGTTTCTTAAAGTAACATACATGTAAACTCTGAGTGGGGTTTACCAATCCACTGAACACTGTGGTCTACAGAGAGGCCTTTCAGATATTTACTGCATACAATTCCTTTAATAGAAATATTGTGAATAAGGCTGTATATAATGCAAATGAATCAAACAGCAGCTCAGGTTACAGACTCCCTATTAAGTACAAAGTCTTATAAACATCTTCAACAAAAATGCTTTCGTAACTGTCAGTGGGGCTGTTGTGAGAGACTGTATAAGCTTTTGCTGTTGTTATGGACTCTCAC